CTAAACATTAAGGGAAAAACGGAAAATTTTACGAACAATCAGTTTTCGACAAAATCGATTTTGGTTTTAGATTAACATTAAAACAAATGACCATGGATACATGCAGTTTTCTCCGAATGTTTATATAAGTATATTCTATCCACCATGCAATTTTCAAAAATTTTTGAATGAAGTTGAGCTATTCATAGGTATTTGCAATTTTTGATCATTACTAGTTTTTTTTAAATTAATATCGATAAAAATKCATTTGTTGGGTAGAAAAKCTTGAAAATTTAATACAAGTCTCTTAACATATTGTTATAATAGTAGTTGAAAAATAAAAAWAAATCATACTCACAATTTATTTTTATAAGCATTCAAAGTTTGAATTTTGACAAAATACATAAAAATCACAAAAATTTGCAAATTATTTTTAGCTAGAAATTCATAAAAGTTTTTCTTTTTAGATCTAATATTTAAAAATGAAATACAAGGCTCCTAACATATTTTTACAATAGCAGTTGAAAAATAAAGGGAATATATAGTCACAATATTTTTTATAAGCATTCAAAGTTTGAATTTTGACAACATACCTACGTAAAAATCATGAAAAATCACGAAAATTCACAAATTATTATAAGCTAGAAATGCATAAAAAATTTTCTTTTTAAACCTAAGATTTGAAAATTGTTGATAATCTATAATATATCCTAGACAGATAAACCGTCTCCGCTCAGAATCACTGTTCGTATACAATGATATAATATTATCATTGGATTCAAATTTAATTCCATCCATTAAAGTAACCCACTTGTAACCTATTGTACAGCAGAGCGACATCCACGACTTACCCGCTTTTTTTTAATGGCTCTTTACTCTTATTTTTTAACTCTTTTGGGTGGCATATCTGGTTAATATCCATGTGGTAAAATTTACGAATGCAGCCTGGTACGTAATATCCAAATATTTCAAATATTTTGCTTCGTTTGAAATTTAAATGGAATTACTAGTGCTCGAATGTTAAATACATTTACACACGACACACGTAATATATTTATAAATATTATGACATTTAATTTGATTATAATATATAAATTACCAGTCTAAGTATAAACAAAAAACGAAGTAAAAGTCGCACGAATAATCTCGTGTGAACGTGTGTACGTGACAATGTAACATTTGAACATAATGGTGGAATTGCATCTACTTAGTTATAAAGTACGGCAACGATATTTAAATTTGCGTGTAGAATAATTTGTTTTAAATGTATTTACTTTTAATTTAGTTTTGACGTAATAGCTGTAAATATATATATATATATATATATATATATATATATCATATTATATTATATGGGCATATTACTATAGCATGTATACTGGCTAAGTCTTAAATGTCAATCGTTCCACGTAATAAATAATCATGTAGGTATACCTACTACCTATTCATAATAATATTATAAGTAATTTAACCATCACGTCACTACATTAGTATAACAATTTGATAATTGATAATCATGTCATGTATTAGTGACATTAGAAACCTAGTGATACTTATGCATAATATCAAAATAAGTACCTATTTTATCCATGGGCGGATAGGCCATTTTTGGCCTACCGGAAAATTTTAAAAAGGGCCCCCGCATGAAAAAAAATGTAATAATAGGTACATGATATTAAAGGGCCCCATTACCGAACTATGAAGGGGGGCCCACCGGGAAATGCCCGGTAGCCCGGTAGGCCTATTCGCCCATGATTTTATCGATATTCAATATTATGTTATGTGTTTCAGACGAGGGCAAGGCACCGTGATGAATAACGCAATAGCCAGCATGTCCACCGGAGCGTTAGCTGCTTTCATTTCTACACCCACCGACGTAATTATTGGATTATCCAACGCAAATATTACGATATAAACAACAAGGCATATGATCGGAACTTTTAGACGGCAGACAGTATAGGCACATGAGTGCATGACGTAGCATAGCGTGTAATAGTACTAATAATTTAATTGCAATAATATGATCATAATATGGCCATATGCTTAAGCGCTAGTGACGTAGGTAGTGATATGTTTAGCAGACTTTAATATAATCTGAACCTTTGCGATCATACCATGTTGTTTATCTCATGATAAATATTATTATTCAGTGGTTAATATTTTTATAATAACCATCGATAATATTGAGATATAAAGTTAAAATTATAATATAATTAATCGTTACAATGATGCCCGGATGAGGATTAATACCTGCAGGCCGCTCCGGTGGTATAAAYCAGTGACCGGTGTAATTAAATTGGTTGTAACCGAAAACAGCACACTTTTGACTTTGACCACAAAAATGTCTCTAGACAAAAACCGCACACGTTATCGGTATTTGTATAATAAAATACATCAAAGTGGTTAAAACTGCACACTAAAAATTAATGCTAAATAAGAATAACGTTTAAGTGATATTTTAAATTTTAAATTAAATAATTGTATTTAATTTAGGAACACTTGTACAAATGCTGGGAAGAATTTTTAATCGATGGTGGTCGTATGAATTTAAAAAAAAAATTTTGGTAATAGATTTCAGCCAATCAAATTTTAAGCATTTTATACACTTTAATTTTCTTTTAAATAATAGTTTTTTAACTATCCATAGATATTTTTGTCTGTGAACTCTTTTGGGGTCGAAATCAAAAACGTGCTGTTTTTGTATACAAAAAATTCAAAAAAATTGTGCGGTTTTAATCTACCAAAAGTGTGTGGTTTTGTCCTGTATTTTATCGCAAGTGTATACGGTCTTATGGTGGGGGGGGGGGCAAATTCTCTACGGGTGTTGTTAATCATTTGAAATCTGTTTGAAATTATTACAGATTGCTATGGTCCGCATGACAGCCGACGGGCGATTGCCAAAAGAGAGTCGTCGCAACTACAAAAACGCGTTCGATGCTTTGATAAAAATACGAAAAGATGAAGGTGTAGTAGGGCTGTGGCGAGGGACGGTGGCGACCATGCTCAGGGCGATGACAGCCAATCTAACGCAGCTGATGTCATATGACGAGGCTAAAGTGTATATGATGAACAATTGTAAGAACGCTGGTTACCCGCTCATCCGTAGCGGTTTACGCATATAATTTTACATATTAGGCCAAAAAACCAAAATCGAATTCATACAGCGAATATTTTAAACATGTTATGATTTTGCTTTTATGGCACTGGTAACACAAAAATATTATAAAATGTATATTACATACTTCAAAAACGGTTGCAGATAATATGGAGAACGGTTTGAAGCTCCACGCCATATCAAGCATGATTTCTGGAATTGTATATTCCGTCTGCTCGAATCCAATGGACGTGTTGAAGACTAGGTAACATATTTACGCAGTATTTATTATTTATATACATCTATGTATATAACTAGTAATAGTTGGGATCTTCTGTTATTGTTTTTTTTTGGAGGGGGACCACATTATATTATTAAATACATATTTCTAAAATATACTTTTTTTTCTTATTATATTTATTAACAGGACTTGTAACTTGTAGAATTTGCATATTTCGGCATACTTCAAAGTTTTAATGCTATTTTTAGCACTATTTTATGCTTATACTGTCTTTTGAGAGTATAAAAGTGAATATATTTTTTTGTAAGTGCATGTTAGTCAATTGTATCAGTTAAGATTTATAAAATAATATTTGCTATATAAGTATGAGATTGATGAATTGCAATTAATAGCCGTTAGTAATTTCGTCGATAATGAGGTTCCATAATATATATTATATATCATATATTATAACACGTGCTATCTTGTTTCGTGGTATTCAAGCAAATTACTTTTCAATCTTTCTCGATTTTAATTTTAATCATAATAATATGTTATAATTTATTTTTTTCACATCCAGTACATTTTTCTGCATATCTTATAGCTTAATAGCTTTTAAACGAGCACTAAAAAATGAATGATTTTAAGTGAATATTATTACGCTTAGAATGCCTTTTTTTAGAGCTACCTATAGCCTACAAATCAAGAGTCTTGTTTATTGGTATAAATATTTTTCATAATATTAATTACAATGTAAAATAATTTTACAAGCACTTATAAACATAAAATTTTAAAATTATTAATATCTATACAAAGTTATATATGTCATAACTCACAACTATATTTTAACATATACCTACCAATACCTAGCGACTATAGCACAATTCCTCTAGCCCTTCTACGCTCCATTTAAATCTGCTACTGCTTATAACTGTATAGATTTATACATTATTTCTATATACATTGGCGTTTTATATATTTATAGAATACAACAACAGAAAATTGTAGATGGAAAAGCAGAATACTCGGGCATAATAGAAGTGGCGTCGATTTTGCTGAAGACCGAGGGTATTACAGCTTTGTGGAAAGGCTGGCCTTTTTATTATTTACGAGTGGCACCAGGGACTGTCTTATTATTTATTTTCATGGAGCAGCTTAAAAAAAAATATGAAGATATTTTTATGAAAGACCAGTGATGATAAACAATTAACTTAACAAACATATAAACCAATGTTTTTCGTTTTTTCGTTTTGTTTGTTTTTGTTTAGAAAATATAAATTAAATAAAAAGATCTTTATTCATAAAAGTGTTGATTTATACATGACAAGTCGAATACGATAGGTCAGTTAAGTAGAATAAGTTAATCGAATCTTCATAACGATTTGTACGTAAAGTTGTTTAGGAATGACAAATAGTTAATTGCTCCTGCAGATGATCTGGCTGCAATTATTTAAGTCCAGAATTACCCAAATTATTCATGCATACCCGATGACCGATACGCTGCAAGTTATTACATATAATTATACATTATAGATTATATGAAATTTGAAGTGAAAATATTTCATCAAAATAATAATAATTAAGCCAGACGACTTCTAGCATTTAAATATTKTTGTACGTAATCGTAAAAATGGACAACTTGAAACAAAGCTGTTTCATTTGTTACAACAAAGCCAAATAGATACAAAGGCGTTTTATGTTGCATATTATGTCAAGATTTCTAATTTTTGAAACATAGGTATATTCCTTATTTGTACTAATTTTGCACATTTTATTTTAAATAATATTTTTTTATTTTTTTATAAATAAATGTATTTACAATCTGTAATATAATAAAACAATAAGTAAATTTGAAATTTTTTTATAAGGCTTGGAGGCTTGAGTGAAGGGTGCGTCCATTGACACTACTTCAAACTGTTTTTTTTTTT